CTGCTGTCTTAAATAGACTTTCTCTATTTAATTTTACAATATTATCAATGCGAGTAAGGCGCAGAAGATGCTTCTGGGAAATAAAATTTGCTGTTGTTTTGAGGGGAGGGAAAAGAAAAGGTTTAACTGAAGAAAAGGTATGGAGAGGATAGATGCCAATGCTTCTCTATCTAGGTACTTATGGCCCATATCACTGATATCTGAGTGCCTTACAAACATTAATGAATTCATATTCTCAATGCCACTGTGAGTAAGAGGAGGTATCTCCGTTTTTCAAATGAGAGTTTGAGGCACAGAGAAACTGACTTGCCCAAGATCGTGCAAGAAGTCTGTGGCAAGACCAGGTTTGAACTTGGCTCCCTTGGCCCCTCCCCCATTTCCCCCCCTCTCACAGAGCCCCAGTGCGCCGCGCCGCCAGCGCTCTGGGCAGCTCTGCAGCTCCTGCCACTTTGAGCGGCATGGTAAGGAGGTGGGGCTGTGAGCTCCAGCGGGCCGCGGCATCCTTACACGCTGCCCTGAGCAGCATGGTAAGGGGGCCGGGCTGGGGCTGGGAGGAGGTGTTGGATAAGGGGCAGGGAGCGGTTGGAGGGGGCGGAGGTTCTGGGGGGGCAGTCAGGGAATGGGGAACAGGGGGTTGGGTAGGTGTGAGTTCAGGGGGTCTGTCAGGGTGGTGGTGGATGGGGTCAGGGGACAGGGAGCAGGGCGAGTTGGGTAGGGATTGGGATCCTGGGGGGCAGTTAGGGTGAGGGGGTCTCGGGAGGGGGTGGTCAGGGGATAAGGAGCGGGGGGGGGGGGGGTTGATGATTCCCTTGGTCCAGGCACTATAGAAGGTAGCCATAAGTTTGCGCTCCAAGGATCCCCTTGCAAGCCCTAGCGTAGTGGGAGGCAGGGGGCAGCGCTGCAGACATTTTGGGGCAGGACTATGGCTCATGGGACAGCTCAGGAAGGCTGTCATAACCTAGACATCCGATGAAGTGCTTATGCTCAAATAAATTTGTTAGTCTCTAAGGTGCCACAAGTACTCCTGTTCTTTTTACGGATACAGACTAACACGGCTGCTACTCTGAAACCATAACCTAGACAGGCCCCCAGGTCTGTCTAAGGGCTTGTCTTCACTACCCGCCTGGATCGGCGGGTAGAAATCGATCTCTCGTGGATAGAATTATCGCGTCTCGTCGGGACACGACAATCGATCCCTGAATCGACGCGCGTACTCCACCAGCCCACGTAGGAGTAAGCGCTGTCGACGGGGGAGCCGCGGCGGTCGATTTGCCGCCGTCCTCACAGCGGGGTAAGTCGGATCGGATCCGTCGAATTCAGCTACGCTATTCACGTAGCTGAATTTGCGTATCTTAAATCGATCCCCACCCTAGTGTAGACCTAGCCTAAGTTGCCCGGAGGACAGCCCAGGATTGGAAGCATGCAAAGACGGCTAAAAGCCAATTTAGTCCCCTCTTTCCCTATGGGCAGCAAATTCTGTGCTGTGCCTCTTAGAGAGACAGCACAGAATTTCACCCAGAGTAAATATAAAGAGTTCTGAGAACCCCTGCTGAAAACAGCTTCTCTATGAAAATGCAAAGCGGTTTTTTGTGTGTGTGATTTCCTTGATGCCCTGGTATGTGTCATGCTTTTGTCATTCTAAGTTTAGTTATGTGTATAAGGGGGTCTCAGGAGGGGGTGGTCAGGGGACAAGCAGCGGGGGGGAGGGTTGATGGGTTGGGGGTTCTGAGGGGGGCAGGTAGGGGTCGGATGGGGGGGACAGGCTGTTTTGGGAGGCACAGCCTTCCCTACCCGGCCGGCCCCCGATACAATTTTGCAACCCCGATGATGTGGCCCTCGGGCCAAAAAGTTTGCCCACCCCGGTCTAGTTTATTATTTTATTAACAGGGTTGCCCTTGCCTCATTCGTTATGTTGATATGCACATGTGAGTCAAATGTCATCACTGCCAAAGTTCGTCCTGTTGAGAGAGAGAGAGAGAGAGAGAGAGAGACAACATCTTGTTTCTTGTGTTAATTAATCGAAGTCCCACTTGCCTCGTTCGTGCACTTGCTCAACTGTTTTCAATACAATTCAACACGACCAGTCATGGTTGGTCTGTTTGTTTCTAGGAAATTGCGTGTGATATTTTGGTGTGTAATACTAACTGGACTGTTATTCAAAGATTAAAGTTTTCTATTCAATATTATTTACCCTTCATAATGAAATGCCAGAAAAGCATTAGTGATTGGTTTTCCAATAAAATGACAAAATCATTAGTCAATATTTCTAGTAGTGAAAATAATGATTTAAATACTGAAAACACTGATGACAATAATTTTGGTAATGAAAATACCTTAAATGTTGAATCATCTGAAAACGTGTCCACACTGGAAGAGGATTTACATGATTGTGAAAATTTAGTACGCGATTGTTGGACTTCCGAGCAGGCACACTATTTTTTAAAGAAATATAATGGCTTGATAATTGAAGGCAAAAAACCTGGCTGTTCCCACTGTGCAAAGATGTCACATTTGGGGGTCCTTGGAGGAAAATCTTTACACACTTCTTCGGAATGGCAAAAGTGTACTATTAAAGCATCTGGAACTGATAAAAAAGTTCAGCAAGCTTCATTAAGAAAAAAAATGAAGGAACATTTCGAATCAAGCTCTCATTTGAGAGTTATAAATATTTTAAATGAATCTAAAAAAGAACCTCTCACTACAGTGATTGATAAACTTACTGAAAAAAATATTGCAATAACCAGCAAAATTTTAAACATGGTTTACAGCTTAGTAAAAAGAAACTGACCAATGTCAGATATGGAGGATGAAGTAGAGCTACAAATTAAAAATGAAACTGATTTAGGGAACTGCCTACATTCTCGATTTTCGGCCATCAGAATTGTAGAACATATTGCTGAATTAATAAGAAAACAAATTTTTAGTAAAATCATCGAAAACAATTCAAAGATTTGTATTATTGATGAAGCTTCTAAATTTCAAGTAAAACTGTGCTTGTAATTCTTATAAAATATGAATTACAAGATTCTTCACCAACAATTTTTCTCGATTTAGTGGAATTAGAATCAACAAAAGCAGAAAATATTTATAATGCTTTGAGAAATACGTTAACTGATACAGGATTTGACACAGAATATTTAAAGAAAAATTTAATCGGATTTTGTTCTGATGGCGTGAGCACCATGCTTGAACAGAAATCTGGAGTTGCTACAAGACTGATTCAAGATTTTCCAAACATTATAATTTGGCATTGTTTGAATCATCGGCTACAACTGACTTTAGATGATGCTGTAAATGATATCAATGAAATAAGCCATTTCAAGATTTTTTTGGACAAGATTTATGCAATTTTTCATCAGTCAAATAAAAGTCAGTTTGAACTTAAACAAGTTTCTGAAGTACTATATATAGAAATCATCACAATAGGCCGTGTTTTTGGTCCACGATGGGCTTCTTGTAGCCTTACAGCTGTCAAAGCGGTCTGGAGAGCTTATCCAGCTCTTTATATTTACTTTTCCAAAAATAAGAAATTTTCTGACATGGAAAAAAGATTGAAAAACAAAGAATTTTTAAAAGACTTGGCATTAATGATTGACATTTTGGATGAACTTGCATTATTATCAAATGCACTGCAAGCGAGACAATTGAGTTTAACAAAGGCAGATAAGCTAATCAAACGAACGATTGATTTTTTTCATACAGTTAAAAGATAGTTTTGGTATACACGAAAATAAAATTAGTGAAATGATAGAAAGTGATGCTTTCAAGTGCATAGAGTTTGAAGATAATGTAAGGTTTAAATCACTGCCACGAGACAAAGTAATAGTGTATTATTGAAAAAATGAAGGCAAGATTATTAAATGAAAATCACATTAAAAATAAAGAAGATCATTTAGGTCATTCTCGTAATACACCTAAAATAGTTGAATTATTCAATGTTATGGATCCCACTTCATGGAATATTGAAGAAGTCAAGTTACCTTGGAAATCAGGAGAAGAAAGTGCATGAATTAAATAAATTCATAAAACTTCTAGTCGATTTAAATGATTTTCGTGACTGTGTAGAGAATAACATTCAATCAAAAAATCTTCCTGATCCAGAAACAGTAAGGAAAGCTAAGCAAATTATGAACACAATTGCAATTAGTTCTGCAGAAGCAGAAAGAGCTTTTTCATTGATGAATATTATTTGTAGTGATAAAAGGGCGAATTTAACAATTAAACATATCTCAAGCTTTATGACCATCAATTTGTTGGGAAAACCACTAAGTTCCTGGAACCCAATACCATATGTTAAATCATGGATGAGAAGTCATCGATCCGCATTAGATACCAGAGTTCGTGTATCCAACATCAAAGATTATGGAGAAGATCAAGAAGCCATTTGGAAATTACTACCTAATTAATAAATAATGTACTTAAATATTCTTTAAAATGTTTTGTTGTTGCATTGTATATCTCAACATGAATATATTACACTTTTCATTTTTAATAACTTAAGTAGTTCACATGTAATATTTTAAAATACAAGAATAATAGGCATTTCATTCTTAAATATTATCGTTTGCTTATTCATACATCTCTTCTTTATATTTTCTTCTTTTCAAGTGTATTTTAAATTCGTGTAATAAAGCAATACTTTGTTTCTATTGTAATAAACATGTAAAAATGTTTTTTTTTTTTTTTTTTTTTTTTTAGTTTGACTCTCAATGCATTGCCGCCACTTATGGAGAAAGGTACAAAAAATACATACTGTGGCACATCCCTTAAATCAGAACTTTTTCTAGGGAACCGGTTGTTTAGATTTTGGCAGCTCATCACTGGCTGTTAACATTGTATATATGACTGTTGGGGAACAAATAATTCTGTTTGAAGAGTGAGGGAAACAGCATTCAATTAGGGTAGTTTGTTAGAAAGATGATTTAAAATAGTGGCATAAGCTTTTCCATGCTTATCAGTTTGTTTTTTTTCCACCCTTTTACTTCTGTCTCCTTTCCCAGGCTTCAATCTTGGATTTGCATTCTGGAGCTCTTTCAGTGGGGAAGCATTTTGTTAATCTGTACAGGTAAAGTGGGACAATGATTTACTCTCTCTCCTTTAGCCTCCTACAGCTTGGGTGTTCTACCTTCTCACAGTGCATAAGGACTCATGTATTAGGGATTTGATAGATTGTCAGTAGTTTCTTGGACCCTGTAAAAGCTTGTGTGGCACTAAATCTGACATAATTGTTATTGAACTGGGCTCTTAGGAAGCTATTAGTAATTTCAGTTGTAAGATTTACCTTTGTGTAATACTGGATAACAAATGACTTTTGTGCAGTTAAAAGTCCATAGCTATATCAATAGTAGAAGAAACACAGGGTTTTGCACCAACCTTTTAAAAGTGGGAAATCCACATTCTTATTTTAAGGGATATTTTCTTTGCCTCGTAAATCCTATCAATATTTATTGAGTTTGGGTCCGTTTTTATTTTAGTAACATCTTAGAACAACACTTTGGGAGCTGGGCATCTCTTTAATCATCAAATTCAAACAGTGGGAAGGTTTGTGGGGCTTTTGTATCAAGTTTAATTTATTGATTATTTGTGGAAAAGATGAAGCATAGATGGGAGGTGAGAAAATGCAGATTGGTAATGTCAAACAATCGGGTTCATAATCCCTCTTCTTAGACTCTCTCTTGTTTTTGTAGATACTTTGGGGATAAAATTCAAGAAGTCTTTACAGAAGAGGATTTCCAGTTATACCGGTAAAGTCATTCAGTAATTGGAGAATGAACCAAAAATATAACTTCATTTTTTTTCTGAGTTGCCCCTTTGAGATGCCATGTTAACAGAATGTTCTCAATCCCACAAGATTTCCTACCTCTCCCATGCTAACACTGAAAAACTCCTGTCCCAGATAGGCCCATCCAGCTGATCTACTAATGCAACCAGAAAGGAAGGTGCTCTACCTGAATCCAGAGGCTGGAGAGACAGCACTAAGGCACATTGATGGAGGTCTAATGCATTTTAGTTCTAGGCCCTGTCTCGTGAGTGTTTTAGGATATATATTGTAATAAAAACTGAAGGGAATCCTGTCCTGTTGTATTGTTTGGGACAGAGCTTCAAATAATGATGATGAGAGGGTAGGTCAAGACATTAAAATAGTTAAAGGGGAAAAGGCTCTTGAGTGTTCTGGTTGTCTGGCTAGAAAAGTAACACTCTTTTTTACAGGGCCAGAATATGGATCATAGAATCATAGAATATCAGGGTTGGGAGGTCATCTAGTCCAAGCCCCTGCTCAGAGCAGGACTAATCCCCAGTTAGATTTTTGCCCCAATCTCTAAATGGCCCCCTCAAGGATTGAACTCACAACCCTGGGTTTAGTAGGCCAATGCTCAAACCACTGAACTATCTCTCCCCTCAAATGGAATATTGCTGTAATGGAACATGCCGTGTGGTGGTGGTGTTTAATCTTTTATACAGCTTGACTCACTGACCTGACGTGCACAGCATGTTTTAATAAGTTTCCTATCTCTGAAGACATGTATAGCCAACATTTAGGAACAAGCCTTATTACTTCTTTGCTGAATGGACATAGTAAATAAATTCTGATTTTCATGGAATTTTGTGTAACTTTAGATCTTGACATGAACTGCAAAGCAGACTTGGTTTGAAAATTTTGTATTCCAAATTTATTTAATTTTATCTTGTAACTCTCAGTATATGGAAGAATATGAGCTCCCTCTAGTGGCTAAAGTATTATTGTTAAGTAGAGCTGGATTAATTTTTTTTTTCCTCAGGTGAAACTTTTTTGCAAAAAAATGCAGATTTGGATCGACTGTAGCACTTTGCAAATTTGTTGTGGGTTCACCAAATTGTTACATCGAATAAATGAAAAATTGCCCCAAAAACATTTAGTTTTGACATTTTTAAAATGAAACATTTTCAGTTTTTGAATTCGCAATGACTTCATTTAAAAATTTCATTGTTTTATTTAAAAAAAAAATTCACCTAAAAAAATACTTGAAATGGAAACGAAATGTTTTATTTTGGGTTGAACAAAACATTGTGTTTGACTCAAGACAAACTTTAAAAAATATATATATTTCACTGTCTGTATGGGAAAAAAAGTCAATTATTTGTACAGCTCTGTAATTAAGTTCCTATGGATGCTGATCAAAGTTTGTTGTGCCTTGTGAATGAATTGTCTGTTGGAGTTGGATTGGAGTTGTATTACTCTGGTAGTTTTGTCTGGTTTAACTTGACCACTTTAAATGGCTAATCTTTGTCTAACTTGGCCTTTCTAGATACCATCATCTTATAGATGAGCTATGATGTTTTTATACATGAAAACTATTTTAGATTTTATCTAATCCTATCTATCTATATACCCCCCAACCCCTGTCACCATATTAGTAGAATTTAGAAATAACCATAATTCTCTCTTGTTCCTTCCCAGCCTGTAGAAATAACCTGATTAATTTATGGGGTTTCTTTTTATGTATTTCCCTATTCCAAACAAACCGGAATTTATAAGAATTGTATAAGTACTTCACATTTCTGCCCCTCCCACTTGGGGATTAAAGCAGCAGCTAGTGATTATGGACTCCTTAGTCGGTATAGAGAATGTTTCAACCTGCCAGAGACAAGTCACAAACAAAAATCATTAAATGCTTTTGTTCCTCTTTAACCATGACTCCAGTAGCATATATCTTTAATGGATTGTTGTATGCTATCTTGAGGAGCATTTATCTTTATTACTTCCATTTACCTGTCCAGGTCTGTTTAAAAATACACTCTGGAGAGCACTAACTAAATAAAATGCACATCTGAGTGTTACTGATGACAACAATAACAAACAAGAGCGGACATTCTGAGCCAGAAGGCTGGTTTCTAAATTAGCTGTGTCAAAATAGCTGCTGCTTCGGAATGAATTATAATTTCTGTGCCCTCATGCTTTATCCTCTAGCTCCCAAGATAGTAATTCTTCTTGTTTGACCCTTTGTCTGTATCTTTATCCAGAATGGAGACCTTGGAATATGCATCCTTGGTTTAAAAGCTGCTCCCTGTCTGTGGCATTAGAAGAAAATTACACCATCAAGGCTTGTGTGTTTTAAAAACTTGTCAGAGTGTAGATGTGCAAAGAATTGAGTGATAGCCAAAGAGTATTTATTACCTTGCCCATTGTCATGTCTTAGCTCCAGCCCTTGTGAGAGTCCAAACAGCAAAGAGATGAAAAATCTTCATGTCAGCTATTTTTATTTCCCTCTTCCAGCATTCAGTTCGATGGGAAGAGGCCTTCTGTACATACTTCTCCATGATGCCAGTGCTGTAGGCTCCAAACTTAGGAAGGGGGTTAATTTGAAGTCTTTTTTTCTTAGACTCTAGCCTCGCTATTGGTTTTTCCCATTTCTCTTCCGACAAAGTATTATGCCCCATTGTTCCTCTAATTTAGTACAGAGTAGATTTCACTACCCCCTTTCCTGCAACTGTGCCACAACGCTTTTCTTCCCTAAGTTTGTCCTGTTCTTCCCTAAATTTGTCATATGTATTTCAGCATCATCCATGACTCGTTATGTGAAAGTACACAGAGTTGCTGTCAACAGAATTTATGGAGAGCTTTATACTTTTCTTTCTACTATTGACTTGGTTTCACGCTCATCTGTGCTAGCAAAGCTATTTCCATTGTGTCCGATCAAAGTGGGAATACATCCTGAGCAATTGCAATGATGAAATAGGGGCAAGATATACAATGATTTTCATTTTGGAAAATTCAAGGAGTTGTTTGCATGGACAAGAGTTTTTTAAATAGAGCTGCAATATAGTGTGGTTGTAGATAGAAAAGGCTCTCTAGAGTCTCAAAGGATTTTATAGATAACATGAATAGAAACTACCTGGAATGGCAGCAAGGGGAACAGGAGCAAAAGATTTTAGTATGGGTTTGATACATGTTGCAAAGTCTGAAGGCCAGGTTTGAGGCCTGAGAAGTTGATTGTATTGGAAAGATTTTAGGCTAAGCAGAATGATTTTAAAACCAGTGTATAAAGTAGATTGATTAAAGTGATGTGCTAGCTTCTGGGTAAATTACTTTAATTTCCTTTGTTTGCGTAATGTATATCCAGAGAAGTGGCATTTGTATGACTCTAGAGAACATCTCCATCCATAAAAGGGGATATCTCAGATTCATGACACTTGGGTAGACAATTGATTCCAGCACACAAAAAGTTAATTTACTATCACAAAGTGAGAGAGTGACTAGAAGATTGTTTTCGTGGGAAGAAGATCATAATGTTGCTGTCCTGTAACTGCATATTTACCAACCTGCTGTGGATAGATGATGGAGGCTTCCTGAATGTAGTGTATATGTAGGGGACGAGGGGAGACCTGGGGCTGTTTAAAGCACTCAGCAAAACATGCTGCCTGCTCTGCATAAATGTCCTGTCCTAGGATATCAGCCCCATAGATGGATTCTTTTGTCCACCAGTATTACGTACAAAGTGAGATCTCCATCATATTTACTTGTCTTTAATATAGTGATGCAGGGCATTCAAATCATATAAAATAAACATGCAGCCTGTTGCCTTTTTTTCCTTAACTGATCCTTAACTTCAATGGGTGTTGGATCAGACCCTAAAAAATAACTTGTACTTCCCACTGTCCATACAGCTGAATCTGAGAGGGAGGCTAGAATAGACTGGGAGATTGTGTCCTGTTCCCACTGTGAGACTTATTTACTATTTTGTTCATGACTTTGCAGCCCCCTATATTTTTCAACTTTTATTATAATAAATTTAACCCTTCTGCTCATTCTGCTATGCCTGTAACTTAAATGATGAGTGTCCTTTACCTGTAATGCTGGTCTCGTGTATGTGTGTGGTGGTGGGGAAATGAGGTGGTGCTATAGACCTAGTCTCTGACACACCACTATATCTCTTTGAAGTCAGATGTGTGAAGCAATAATATAAACAAAATAAATGGCAAATTAAGCTGCTACATGTGGTTCATCTTGATGCAGAGCATGAATGGGACTTCCTTTAGGTAGAAATACATTGATTTCCTGTACAAGGAGCTTTAATAGGCTTGTTTATTAACTGATACTTCTATGTAACTCTCGGTGTTAATAAGCAACAGAACAACTGTGAAATCAGTTAATATAATTCTGGTAATTTTATTAATTTACTTTGTTAAATTTCATTTTTCTATCCATATCATGGGAAATCAGCTGCTAGATGCTCTGTTTATAACCCTCTGCAGATTAACAAAAAAAAAAAAGCGCTGCTTTTTTTTTCTGACCACATTTACTTTTCTTCATTTAAAGCTTTTTATTATAACACTCCTTCTGAGATCTGTTTAGCAGATTTATATCCCTTAAGCATTTTAAACTAAATTTTCCAGGTTTGAGGATAATTGCTAGACAATTATTAAAACACAGATCATCTTTTGTTGGGCCAGTTTTTTGTCTGTCTTGGAGAAATCTAAGCCCATGAATCCTTGGACCTGATGCCCACTCAGTGAGGCAGTTAGTGTTTCATGCACATTTAATAAATCTGCGTAAAGACTATTTTCACATATTCAATGAAAATAGTCACTGCAGATGGTCCTGATTTTTTAAAAAAGAATGAGTTGATTGCTTTAATTTTTTTTCAGAATAACACAAGCTACTATAGCCAGACAATGGCTCACAAAGACATGAAACTAGTGATGCAAATTCTGCATTAACTTGAACTCCAGAATTTGGCCCTATTTGTTATCTTTGGGAGGGAAGGGGAAGAAGACTTGTTCAAGATGAGCTAGAAAATTTGGGATGGTTTTGATAAACAGGAAGCAGATTTCTGTTTCTTGAAGGATGTGCTGTTTTTTTTTTACTCAGCAGCAAATTAAGCTTAGGAAAAGGAAATCAACTTTTATAGTAACCTTTGGCAGACCTGAACCAGTTACTTTTTCTTGCCGTTCTTGTAAATGAAGAGGATCTGAGCAGAACTTTATTTCCCCCTTCCCATTTTACAAATCATACAGTCTTGTCTTGTCCTAAGTCATTATATTGGGGAGTGAAGCTTTAAGGCAGCTTATAAGGACTAGAGAATGCGCTTCAATAGTAAGGTTTTAAAAAGGAAAAGGCATCAGACTAAGAGGGAAATCAGTGTTGCTTTTAAGGTTCTCTGAGGGCATAAATGTTATATACTTTATAAATATTTGGCATTTAAAACAAGATGCCTGGGGACACTAAGAAGGATGGTTCGGTGGTTAGGGCACTGGGCGAGGATGTTGGAGATGTGGATTCAATTCTCTGCTCTGCAATGGACTTCCTGTGTGACCTTGGGCAAGTCACTTAGCCTCAATGTGCCTCAGTTTCCCATCTGTACAGTAAGGCTAATAATGCTTCCTTGGCTCACAGGGCAGTTGGGATGATAAATATCTTTAAAAGATTGTGAAACTCTTTGAGATCTATAGATGAAAAGTGCTCTCTGTGAAATAGGCATTCTTCATTATGGTAATAAATATTTGTGATTTAAACCAGCGTAAAGAAGGATGGCCTGAAAATGAAGTGATGATGTGTTCTTACCCTTTAGGGACAAGCACTTCAGCATAGATATATTGTAGCTGTCAGCTGGGTCGGGCCCACCAGCATCAAACCCAGGGGATAGATTGTTTTTTCTTTGCCTTTGTGGCTGCTACCCCTCCCCTTGTTGTTAATCATTCTAGTGATGATTTCTACAAAGCATTAGCGCTCTCAATTCACGGTGAAGCAAAATGCACGTTGACAATGTTCAGTTCCTTGTAGGATTGGGCTCCTACTGAATCTCTGCTTGGTCACGAGAACAGAGGGACAACATGGCCTGTTGGGCCTCAATTCAACAAAGTACTTACACATCCCTATTCAGCTTATTCATGCTTCATGGTGAGCATGTGCTTAAGTGCTTTGCTGAATTGGGACTATAAAGTGTGATGTGTGAGCAATATGCAGTGGTGTTAGAAACATTCCTCCAAGACAGGAAGATGGATTCAAAGACCCAATACTGTATATCTCTTTGATTTTCCATTTCTCTGACCTCAGTCTTGTCAACTCTCACGGTACTTAATGTTTTTCTTGAAGCCCTAGCTCCTGGAGTCATGTGAGATTACATGAGAATCTCACCTTTCATTTAAAAAAAAAAAAATCTGACCCTTATGGTTGTGGAAAGAATCTGGAAAGTGTGACTCCTAAAGGCTCCAAAATCAGAAGGCAAATAAAAAGTACCCCAAATGTATTATTTTGTAAAATCTCACGATTTGGCAGGATAAGAGGGCTGATTCAGGAGTTTTGAATGCATGGGGTTGGCAGTCCTGTGATAAGCCCTTGCCCCACAAACCTGACTCAAAGCTGGTAGCTCTGACTTTCAGCCTTGCTACTCTTGTGACGATCTCTATTTAAAACCTCTAGAAAAGTATTTGAGAGCATTTCTTGAAATCTCTCTGAAGTCTAGTACTTCATATTGGAGAAACTTTTAATAATGGGTATAAGCTACAAAAATTGTGATGCAGGTCCACGGGGAAGCTTTACAAGTGTGATTACTTCAAATGAAACCTTTTTCAATGTGCCTTTTTTTTTTTAATCTGCACTTGAAAAGCAAGAACAAGGAGAATAATGGAAGAGTTTAAAATATTTGTTTAAAACTGAAAGAAAACAAAACAATGTTAAGATTAAAACTTGGTCTTCCCATCTCAACACTTAGTTTCCTTTGTTATGCTTGTCTTAGAAATGTCTCTCTCAAGATACAAGTTTTTGAAGATACAGATTTCTTACCTGATCGCCTGCTGCAGATTAAAGGGATATCTGTCAAATATTTTCTGTTTCAGTTTTTAATTTTATATTATTTATTAAGCCTATAGGTGTATGTGGCATTTTACAAAAAGATTGGGGCCACAGAATTTGCCCCAAGGAACTTAAAATCTAGAGCCTTGTTTCTGTCTGTCTCCCTCTCTTGCAATTTTATTAATTTTTTGGTTTTATTGGGTTGGCTTGGGAGAATGGTTCATTGTTGGAGAGACGAGAAAGAAATAGGTTGGGAGGAGGAATGTGGAGAATGAAAGAGCAGCTGCATGATATAACTAGCTTTTAATTTTTGTTCATTCTTCTATTTGTTATGCCCTCTTAGAAGCCTGTAAGCAAAATGCCAAACTTTATACATAGAAAGAAAGAAAACAAAAAATATTGCTTTTTAGCTTCTGAGAATAAAAAGAAAGGAAAGCGATTAGAGATGGTGGATTCTTATACCTCTGATCCAGGTTTGTTAAGACAAAGGGAGAAAAAAATCCAAACTCCCTGAAATATATTTACAGAGGTAAATCTGATGAAGAAATTTAGGCTGGGAAGAGCAGTGACAGTGGACAATCAATAAACCATAGGAGCAGATAGTGAAAGAAACAGTAGAACTATAATGTCACTCTGGTTTAAATTGGGACCTGTGCCATAGTGCTGTGTCATACCTTGTGTCTAAGGCGCTGTGTCATGTTCTTCTTTGCAGTGATGTAAGGCGGAGAATTCAGCAAACAATAGCTCAGGCATTTGGTATCAGCTCTTCTTCCATGTATCTGACCAAGCCAACCTTCTTCTCAAGAATAAACAGCACAGAGGCCAAGACAACGCATGATGAGTACTGGCACCCGCACATTGACAAGGTAAGTGGCAGGTTCAGAGAGCCAGAATGTGTTTCCTTTTGGGATTAAATCACTTTGGAGACTGAGTACCCAAGTGTACCAGACCATAACAATTGCAGTTGGGAGATGTTTGTAGGCTGGTGATATAAAATCAGGGATTCCGATGACTGAGCAGTCCTATCAAACATGTTTCTGATTTGCACAATATGAAAAATAAAAATGTCTGATTGTTATGTTCTGCAGAGGGACTACCCCATCTAAGATACTCAATAACACTTCTGAATGTTAAACAAAGCAGAAAAGTTTGTCATCTGCTCATCGCTGAGATCTGTTTTTTAAAATTAGGGGTGGATTTTGACAAGTGCTTTAATAGATGGACTGATTAATCACTCACCCACCTCCCAAGTAGTGTTTTAACTACAACCTTGTAGCACTCATGCACATAAACTGGAAAAGAAAAAACTTCCTTGAGCCAAAAACAGCTTTATTTTGAGGGTGTGAGAGAAGCAGAGAGATGGTGTTTCATCTATCTATGGTCTGTCTTGGAAAGCCCAATATGAGGATGTTGAGTGGCAAACAGAATTCTTTCTGCTTCTAACATCCACAAAGCTCCAGGTAAGAGTTTTGATGCAAGCAGTCTTTTCTGAGTCAGTCAGTGTACTTGTGCTATGGGATATATTGTATGATGGTAAACGTTAGTGCTGTGCAGGAACCAGAATTTTCATCCCACAGAACGTTTTTCATTTCTGAAAAATTTTCATTCTGGATCCGAATGAAAAGTCAGATATGTAACATTTTCTTTGGGATGAACATTTTCAAAACAATCTGTTTCAGAAGAACTGAAAAGGGATTTTTTGAAAATTTCTGGTCCAGCCTCTCCAGCTAAGTGTCAGCTTGCCAAACAAAGTGCTGGGGAGTCCCAGCTCTGGGAGAGCTCACTAGATGGGCTGCTGAAGACCCTGCAGCCCAGGGACTCCTGACATCCTGGCAGCTTGTGAAGGAGCCCTGGGGAGTCTGGGCTGGCAGGAAACCAAGCAGGGTTGGTTAGCTGGCCTGCCTGTCTGGTCTCTTTGAAAGTTTAATGGAATCAACACATTCCTGTGGAACATTTCAGTTTTGTCAAAGTAGCATTTTCCTGATGGAAAACTCTTTTTCGGAAAACTTTCAGACATCTCTCGTAATCACTGTTTCAGGCCCTAGGATGGAAAATGATTTTGGCACCCCCTGTGCAGACTGGCTGAGCAAAAGCCTCTCCTTGTCCTCGGCTGTTGATTTGACACCCCAAGAAGTTGGTTGAAGGTCAGCCCTGGTTTCAGAGGTGTGATGAACACTCAGTCTCTTAAAGCACTTATCAATATGTACAGATAATTTAAATACTTAGACATCAGTGCAGTGGCACAGGAACAGTTTTTGGAGTGAGGGTGCTGAGCTGCACCTCTTACCCCTGTCTGCATGGGGGGGGGGAATGCGGACACGGGTAAGGCAGTGGAGGCTGGGGCCACAGCTAGGTGCGGAGCCTGGGGTGTGGGGCCGGCAGCCGGCACCCTGGTCCAAGTGGCCAGGATCCTGGGGCTGGCGGCCGGGCGGGACCCCGAGCTGGCAGCTGGGACCCTGGGACCAGCAGCGGAGCCCCCGGGCGCAGGGCCGGTGGCTGAGCGGGACCTTGGGCTGGCGGCTGAGTGGGACCCGGGGCTGGCGGCAGAGCCCCCAGGCAGCAGCGGGGCCAGCGGCCGGGACCCAGGACCTCAGGGGTGCGGGGCTGGTGGCCAGGATGCTGGGCGCAAAACCTGGGGGTGCTGCAGCAACCCCTGCACGCCTACTTCCCGCGCGTATGCATCAGTGATGTGCAAGGTTTATTTTATTGCATGTTCTGTGGAGGAGACTTGACTTTTTCATGATCTGATTTTGGTAATTATGGAAGGTTTTTTGAGTGATTTTGTAAACATAGCAGGGGTCTTTTATCTCTGAGATCATAGCTTATGTCCTTTGTGAAGTTCTCAGTGGATTGAACTGAGTGAATCTTGGTTTTGAGTTTAGTTACATACATTGTATCCAAGAGGATCTATGTAAATAAGCAGAACTCAAAGTACTGGTGAGAAAGCCATATAGCTAAATAAATTGGGAGTTCAGCAGAGATTTAAAAACTGGAATTGCTCCAGAATCATGGCCCACCCAAGCCAAGAACCACCAGATCTAAGATGTACAGCCAGCCAAAAGCTTATCAGTGCCTCACTGTCAATAGGTAAAAGTTATTAGTAGGCCGGCTTCCAAGGGCATGACTTGGACATCCTTGATTAGAAGTCACAAAGAAATATTTATTACCAGGAAAAATACTTGATATTAAAAGGACCAAGTTGCATGGAATAATAATTAATAAATACTTAGCTCTTATGTTTTGTCCATGTTTCTGACAGCATCAGTCAAAGCTGTGGTAGTCACCTTTTGATTTGCTGAACTTCTACGAACTGATGCTCTCTCATTAACAAAGTGCTCATTCTGCTTTACTGAACTTCAGTTTAAATTAGGGCAGTGATGCAAGATCAAGTGTAGAGCTATTGATAAAGCAATGATAATCCACACCAGCGTTCTGAATATTGTTGGTTAAAGGGGTACTGTAAATACAGAGTAACATAGATGGGGAGGATTTATGCAGTGCAGATTACCCAAACTGATACTAATAAGAACTGTACCTAGAATGAAAATAGTGCTGACGTGGCTTCTGGCAGTTCCATCACATGCTCCAGTCTGTCACAGGGGACACCATCATAGCAAAGATCCCAGTTCCATGAAATACAATGGCATCATATGTTTTCACTCTCTCTCCTTGTTAGTTTATTCTCAAAAGTACTGTTGCATCTTCACCATTCCATAGCAACTTTAGGTTACTACAAATCTGTAATAAACAGAAGAAAAAAGTGTCTGTGTAATGCCAGAAAGAAGAATTACTCAAAAATGGTAACTAGTTTGAGGATTGCACCATGCTTTGTCAGTTTTTGAAGAGGTAACTGGAGGTGGTTTGAATGAGAAAATACATCATGTATTTATGCTGCTGCTCTGCACAGTGAAACTTTGTCAACAAAGAATTTGAGAAGCTGTGTAATAAGTGAACATGTAATAGGAATACACTACCCCAGGTCAATGTTTTATTTGGAGATACTATATCTATTTAACAATGACTTTTGCTTAAAACTAATGAAGGTAATTTGGGCTGCTACAATCTATTAATGTCTCGGCCAATTCACCAATTTTTGGAGACCATTTTTTAGGCTGTTTTTCAGAACAGAGGTCAGCTAGAGTTCACATCCTCTGCAGCTCATCTTTCCCTCTGCCTCAGGGATTATGGCCCTGTTTACAATTTAAATGACCCCAAAAAAGCCTCTGCTTTTTTTCTGAACCTGGATTATGTCAAGTGAAATTGATGATGTTCACACTTGTTCTTAACTAAGGTGTGGCGGAGAAATACTGTTGAATTTTCCCCACCTTGTAAAATAAATGTCATCCTTTTTATGGTCATCTTCTCTTAGGCAGTTTTTCTTCAGTCGGTCATACCCTTCCACCCGAGGGCTGGAGAACCCCAGCAACTCCCAACTCAAGTGTTGCATTAGAAGGCAAACCTCTATCATGACTACTATGATTGATTAATACTTTTAAAATACAAATATAATTCCACAGCCAATGAACTTGTAAAGTACCAATAGGAAGGCTTTCATAGATCTTGGTAGGAGTACTCGGGATGGGGGAATAGTAATATGAACAATTACTTTGTTCAAATGATTATGGGTAAAGTTTACATTTCCTAGTGGAGCTGGTGATGTTCTATTTGTTTCCTGGATGTATGCTCATCACCAGCAAGAACACATTACCTGGGTGTATCTCACTTAAATAATTACCATGTGTGGCGGACTATGTACCCCAGCGCCCCTTTGTGGCAGGGGTAGGATGGAGTGCCGGCGCCTCACCACTCTCAAGTCCTAATGTCCGCCTCTCTGTGGGCGGTCAGAACCTGCCTCTTGGCCTTTCTCCCTACTATCACCCCTATCTGGCGCGGTAGTGTGACCTAGCAGTCGGAGTCTATATAACCCCCCTTAAGAGCAGGGTAGCGCAGCCCAGCGGCCAGAGTCCATGTAAACCCCCTTACGAGCGGGGTAGCCTGGCCCAGCGGCCAGAGTCCATATA